GGGTGGGGGGTGGGGTGGAAATAGGAAAGTTGCTGTTCTAGACTTTCATATTTGGGGATATCTCTTCTGTACCTTTCCTAAGTTAACGTTGTAGTAAATAGATACTTTTCACTAAAAATGTTTCAACTTCTCCAGATCAGGCAGTAAAAATGAGTGGTGTGAAAATGAAAGTGTGTGATTACAACTGCTCTTACACTACAGCAGGATCTGAAGTAATGGCTAAATTTTGTAATTCTTCCTTCTGAAATAGTGAGATAAGCACATCTATAAGTGGGTGAGAAATGGTTAGGAACCTCATTCCGTTTTCTTTGTTTCAGCTGTTGCCCATTTGGCAAATCCATTTGTACAACATTCTTAGGACCCTATTGTTTCCTCACCAATCTGACCTATTTTAATGTGCTCTTTTCATTGGTTGGCAAGAAGAGTCCAGATAGCAGAGTTGAGCAACCATTTTTAAAAATAATTTTATTTTAGAACATTCAAAGAATCACACAAAAGAAAAAAGAAGAAAATGAGAAAAGACATAGTGGTTGGAGAATAAATTATCAATAAATAAACACCATGTACAAGTGTCATAACATTTAGAACATAACCACTTGGTAGCCATCTAACTTTTTTGCTTCTGGGAGAAGTGATAACCATCATATGCAGGGCAATGATGCCAAATGGACAGATGTGGCCAGGGTCTTCCTCCCCACTTTTTCTTTGCGTGGAGGGTTTGGGTTTTTGGCTTTGGCTTTTAATTGTGTTCAACCTAAACTAAAATTTAGGCTATAATTTTCTTACAGCTGGAAACCATGCCATCTGTTTTCAGTCATTATTTCACCAAAATTCATACCCAGAGGGGTGACTGAGCTCTATAAAAAGGAAGCTTGGCCTTATTATCAGCCATAGGATTGTAGGTTGCAAATTCTATCATAGAGAATTTGGTGTGTGTGTGTGTGTGTGTATACAATATTATGGGCTGATGCCTGAGACTGTAGTTCATTAGAGTATTTTTCCACTGACTTTTAGTTATATAGAAGGATTCCACAGCTAGGCTGCGTGGAATCTACAGAAGACGACTGCTGATAGTTCTCTCACCGGTGTTAGAAAGCATAAAGTTGAAAAATGGAACTTCATACAGATTGGCTAGAGCCGGCTTTTGATCAAAATTATGCAGATGAGGCTCCTCATCCTTGCAAACGTGGAACAGAAATATGTTTGCTGTTATAACCAATAACAGATTTTTTTTTTTCAAGAAGAGAAGACAGGAGGGGGAAAAAAGTCATCTACAGGTCTTCATTTTCTAGCCCATACCAGCAGGGCTCTAGAAGGAGAAGATCCATCCTCATTCCCTAAGATCCTTTTTAGGATTGTTCTGCGCTGGATTGTAGGTTCCTCAGACAAATTTGATTCAGCCAGAGCATTATTTGTATTATGTAGTTCACTTTTTTTTTTTTAATCTAAGTGAAATGAAACCAATGCACTTACAGAAACTTTGGTTTGCCATCAGTGGTCTTATTTTGAATGTGTGTTTTTATCAGTTGATGGAGAAAAGCTTCAGAAAGCTTCCATGGGACATGTCTCATTCTGCCACATGGTGCGATAGATCTCTCATCACTCAAAAAAGAGTAGATAAGCTGGAGCCAAATAAGCAAAGATACCAAATTTGAATGCATAAACAACCAGAGTCCCCTGAGAATATCCCTTCTTGCTCAAGTGAGTTCAGCGAAGGAAATAAATACCAGGTTCAGAGTGGTGTGTGCTGTTTTCTGAAATTCTAATGATCTTATTTTGAAATAGCTGGTGGAATGGTTGAATAGAGGGGCTTGGGGAGATTCTCATTAGCAAACAGATGCATTTCATGTATTGCTAAGCATTGAACTCCAACCCATAGTAGCTCCAAATAAGGAATTAAAAGTAGCAAGGTCAAGAAAAGCCAGCAAAGTAAACTCATGAAACACTCAGCCATGGGTCCGATAGACCAGTGGCTTAATTCTTAACAAGGTGATTTGACAGAAAAAAGGTGAAAAAGCTAACGAGCATAAGGATGGAATATCTCCTATTCTGGGTCCCAGCCTTAAGACTTAATTTTTCCAAAATCACATGGTTAATGGCAAACCTGTTGCTAATCTAAGTGTGTCATCACATGGGCTTCTGGACGGGAAGTTCCACCAATCAGGTTGGGACAATGTTGTGATTTGTGGAGCTCTGAAATGAGTTCCACGTCAGAGATTCAGGAGATCTCACAGTACAAGGTTACTTACTGGAGCCGTTGATTGGTGCATCAGGGGCAATTATCATAGATGATCAAGTGCTAAGATTGGAGGAAACTAGAGATACTGATGCTAATTCTTCCACTTTGCCATTGTTGAAGGCATCAAGCCCCTCTTGATTCTCATAGTTCAATCTACCTACCAAGCTAGCAACCTCTCACCTACATCTGCAAGCCTGCAGGCAGAAACAAGGGCTGGAGAGAGTAGAAATACTTCCACTTGCCTTAATTTCCCTTTCCCTTTGTTGCAGGACTCAAAAGGAGAGGGCATGTACATGGATAATGGTGATGATAGCAAGCTGTGGCACCGGAGTCTGGTTACAAGGGCTCACTCAAATCTACTGTCCACACTGAAGGCAATAAATGGGCAAGTCTTTTCGTTTGTGCAAGGAAGGAGTATAACTGAACCTGTGGGTTTTCTTTTACGTTTCTAGACTAAAGATAAGCCAGAAGACAAGGGTGCAAAAGGAAAGCATGCACCTCCCAAGAACGGAATACAGACAGAAAGCAAGAATTCCTTGGAAGGTACTTACAGATACATTCTGCTGAGTATTGTTGAGGCAGAATCTTTAATGTGTGATAATAAACTAGCAGGATGGTTTAATTTAAGGCCAGAGAAGGCAAGTTGGTGCCCCCCAAATGCTTCAGATTACTAGTGTCCTTAGCCCTTATTGACTCTGCTGGTTGGGGATTATGGGAGTTGATGTCCAAAAATCTGGCAAGCTCCAGGTTGCCTATCTCTGATTTAAGGCAATACTCAGCTCTCCCCACTCCCTTCATAAAATTGCAAACTATGTGTGTCTGGGTTCACACAGCAGCCTATATTCTAAACCCATGTTAATATAATTGTTCTATACACAGAACATGCAGTACCCAAACATATACAATCCCAGTATGGCTTAATGTGACAGCTTGCTTCTTACAGCTGGATTTTCACAACATACTGAACGGCAACCTATCCTATGCCACGTGATTCCAACCTCGCCTGTTGTATGAATTCTATATTGGTCAGAAGCAAGAATTCTAGTCAGTTGGTTGGTTCACCAGATCACACCATTTACAATTAAAGAGGCCCATCCTCTATATAAGGTCTGCCAGAAGATACACTCATTTTGCAACTGAAGACAGTTGAACTAGAATGGATTCTGATGCTCTCCTTGCAATGTTGTCAGTTAAAGTGGAAAGAGCCGCAGCAATTGCTCTTCAGATATGCTGCTTTTCTCTGTTTCACCTCGAACTATTCAAGTTCCCACCTTGCAGTACTTCTCCCATCGTGCACTGATATCTGACACTGCACCCCCCCAAACAGCCTGCGTCTTCCAGGGCGGGGGTTTGTTCAGCACGCCTAACGCCCGTTGCCCACCAGAACTTGGTGTAGCTTGGCCCTTGAGAAACGGTCATATAATTGCTGCCACCACTTGTTTCCAATATTTTGCTCCCCACATCCCTAAAAAGGAAGGAACAGAAGATGGTGCCCCCCCTGTTCCAAGTCCAAATGCAAGTGGGATTAGCTGTTGTGTCTTTTTTCAGCACTGGCAAAAGGGCTACACCTGAAGGTGTCAGTCTAATTTGGGAGGC